GGCTGAGTGACGTGGGATTCTAGCTTGTTGGCGTTACAAAGTCCTACCTAAAGTAGTATGGTACGTATACACCGGGGGCAGTGCTGTTTGATAGGCTTGCTTTTCGCGCAAAGCCCATGAAGCATAGGCCTGATAAGGCGCTTCAAGCAAGCGACCGGGGAGAGGACCGAGCCGCAGCACCAGTCCAGGGCCAGTGAAAATCATTATAATTGGTGAGGAGTTGTGATGCCTCGTACATTAATACTAAGACTAAACGTCTAGAACAAAGTAAGTCCTAGTCAGGCATCGTCAGCAGAATTTCGAACTGATTTTTCCAGCTTATATTTATAATCGATATCAAGTATTCGCTGCTGCAAGAACTTAGTCTATACAGCTGCACCTTCCAAGCGTCAGTTCTTTGATCTTCATGATCCCATATCTGGATACTCAGCACCATGGCTTTCTTCTGACTCAAGATCGAGTATTATCCTCCGTTCCTTGAGACAACGATCCCGAATATTTTCTGAAACCCTTGATCTTTTCTTTTTTTTTACTCTGGTAAAGAGTAATAAGGGTCACATTGCAGAAATCACGCACGCCTCCGAATCTCAATTAGGTTATAAGCATTGATTAAAGCTGAGGATTCAGATGCTAAATTTATCTGAAAGTCTCAGCTGAATTTTGCAGAAGGATCAGGCACATGCTATATTCAGTCTACAAGAATCTGTCTGCAGCAACATGGCTTCTTGTATCGAGATCCGGGTAACCCCAGCTTTGGAGGTTGGACAGCAGCTGCTAGGAGGACACATATAACTGTATCCTTGGAATAGCGGTTGAACGCAAAATGTTCCGGGGCCTAGCTACTATCTACCAGCATCAAAGGCTGTACCTGCCTAGTAGCTTTTCCGGCATTACATACTTCGGATGCTTCGTTTGGCACTGATAGATTCATAAGACACTTCATGCTGCCCTATTAAAGATCGTTTGTGGTGGAGTTATTTGGAGGTATCTACGTTATGTCACACGCACCTGCAATCTCCAATGCAGTGAGGTCCTAGGGCACAGGTTCGACACCTTTACACAAATTTATAGACATTCTGAGCCATTTATTAGAAAGAGTACTAGTGTTCATCATCTCGCTTCCTTTCGTGCGTTAGGGGGGTTGAATAAGGGGCTACCACGAAAGGAAACCTTACTGTCGCGCATCGGATCACTCACAAAGGCGATGCTCGACTCCCCCCCTCCCCGACTAGGCCTGCCCTTCACAAAAACAGTAATAACAGTCGTTACGCATAATGTCATTCAAGTTAAAACATTGTATCTATCATGTATACAACCTCAACTTTCCACTATCTGAGTAGTGTCCTCGTGAACGAAGGCTCAAATGCTTCAATCCTGTACACATATATCATATCCATACGTAGAGGTTATTATCAATATCTTGATAGGAGCACTGATATCTACTAACAGTAACGGGGTATTGTTATTCTTTCCGTTACTACTTTCCCTGCTTTCGTTACCTATTGGCCTGTAATATGCGCTGTCTTTACATACCATTACTCTGTGTCCGCCTCTCGGGCTTTCGCGGCTTACTGCTTGCTAACAAACCTCCCCCCTTTCCCAATGATATACGGCTTCTATTTCTCTTTGAACGTGAATCACACCATTAGCCGGATCTGATCTTGGTGCGCCTTCTACCGGCTTAAACGCGCACTCGGCAGTTATCTTATTCTCCGATCTTGGGGACAGTATAACGGAATTATCCTCAGCAATGATCTGGTCCCGACTGTCGTATAACTCGTTGTACAGCCCAGGCCGTCGATTCGAGCACGAACCGCCAACTGTTTCCAGCCGTTCGCTCTTCGACCCTGTATCCGAGCTGCTCGGCGCAGTCTTCACTACACCTAGTTTGCTCAGGATAGGCTTAACATAGGCGTTGAACAGCGGCCCTAGCGTTGGTATGCATGCAGCCATGATCCCTAGCCACACCTCAAGCGAACTGATCAGTCCGACTTGGCAGAGAGTCCTGGTCCAGTCGGGCGAGCTTCTTGTTTGGATCGTCACGACCAATCTCCATATCATAACGGCGACGGTACTATGAAATAAGGAGAATCAACGTCTCGAAACGGAGTATACGTAGAGATTCCTTGCATCAACTTACACAATTCCTATACTGAACATAGCAGTTACTGTGGCTTTATCGCGGACCGACATTCTCAGTCGCCAGAGCACTGGTAATGGTAGGACCAGAATAGCAACGTCAAGGATCAGATTGACAATTATAGTCGCATTGTCGCCGATGGCTGGATCTCGACACCGCGTATGTGGTCCCAGAAGCCATAGCTGAGAAATGGGTATACAGTTGGTCAGGTAGAGGGGGATGAATGATATAAGGTACAGAATAACTAAAGTCATGAGACCGTAACACCATCGCCTGAATACTGCGGTGATATAGATTCGTCTGTAAAGCCAGAGCACAGAAAGTTTCACGAAGGTAGTAGCCATGAGGTAGGTAAGTTCGCTAGCCAACAAAAGCTATGCGACATCCGACGAATCAGTCTCATATACGGCGCCTCGGGCCCCATATGCGTACCTTGACCTGGATAACGAGTTGAGTCTCATCAAGTTCCCATATATGCATCCCTAGCCCGTTGAAGGTGGCCCAGGCTGCTACGCTCGCCAAACCAACGCTGTTCGCCTGGTAAGACGTTAACGGAGTCACTCCTGGGTGGTTTCTTAGGCTTCACAATACTTACAAAAGATAGTACCACGAATAAATCGTCCGCATATAACTTCCGCCTTGAGCGACGCGCAGCCCAGAACCGTAGTGTTAAAAAGACGAGACATAGCACTGCAAAGACAGAATCGGTGACAAAGAGTTCACGGCCACAGGTGCTTATATGCGCTAACGCAAACGCCATTTTGAATTAATCCAAGAGAACAGACAAGCTTCGCTAATACGCCGTTGACGAAACCGAGATGTTGTAGCGTAACTAGATGCACTCTGAATCCTAAATCTTAGCAGAGGCTGTAGATGTTTTGAGCGTACCATAAAGGCCAAGTAGAGCATATAGACGTGGACGCATGAGCGAGTTAGAGAGACAGTGTTCCGTAAATCTTCTTTGTAATGTACTTCTTTCAATTATATCTCCTTTCAGTTACATGAGCAACACCATCTGTTAGGGTACGGGGCTTTCATTTATTTTTGTAACGTTGAACCTATACAAGTGTTATACGATAAGGAGGCAATATAGCCCACGCTGATACGATAACTACTTATCACTCCTTCGATCTTCACAATTTCTGTACAATTCTGACTAGAAAGCAACCAACCGAGCTGCAGGATTGGCGGTGCTGAATTGTTTGACTCCTTACACTAGTCAAGGTGGTTTCCAGGACGTCATCTATGGTGGCGGCGAAATTCTAAGATAGAGCGTATCGTTGGTCTTAATACTATCTTACTAACTCATTAACCGAATGTTTCTGTTCTTAGGTATGAACCGTCTTTGTTAACATCTTTGTCCGGATCTTTCGAACCCTTCTACAGTAGAACTAGACCAAGGGACATATGTCTTCACACATCTCAAAAGTGCAAACTTTGACCAAGGATACTTAAATCTGTCCTGTCTTCTCTACATCCAATTTAAATTTACGATCTGAACTAAATTTGTAATGCAATTTAATAATATTGACTAGTAGAGCACTGTCTGCTAGATGTGCGCATGAACGATTGATGCTCTGGATCTCTTGCAATATTTGAGAAGGACTTGTTTGCTGAATATACGATGTTCCCTAGCTAATTTATATAACTTTCCGGCTTTAGGAAGCTTATAAGTGCGAATCTTCCGTAACTGTGCATAGCGTGCTCACATGACGTTCATCGTGCGGCTCTAGGAGCTGCCGAGATACCGGAATGGTAGCTCAGTGGTAGAGCAGCGGACTGCAGTTCCGAAGGTCGCGGGTTCAATTCCCACTCGTTCCTCGCATTACATTTTTGCCTACCTAGGCAAGTGGTTAAACTACCTAACCTGAACTAAGCCCAATACCATGTATCGTTTAGCATGGTGGGCGACGAGCCAATGAGAACTGCGCATTGCTTTTTGTACTTTGAACTCGAACAACACCTTACGCTTAACTCTGTATAAGCGATACGACAATTGCGCAAATAGCAAGTGCTTAATAATATAAATGATCGCTTTTTTTTTCCCCCAATATCTAACGCATTTAATGACTAATTATACGCTTACTAGCGTTTAAACACCTAGCTTCTTATAGTATAAGGCATATTAAAAAAGAAATAAAAAGAGATTATTTATATACTTGTCTTAAAGGTTCGAAACGGTAGATACACAACTCCGTTAGTGCCGGACCTTTTGATACCCTCGGTAGGTATTGGGACCTTTGAAATAGGAACTTCATTGGACTTTACATAGCGCTGAATAACAACTGCCCAAGCAATACGCTACTAAATACTTGATTTGATATGATCTTATCTTGTAAACATTTGATTCTTGAGAACGTAATATTTTACCAGTTCCCGAGGGAGGCTTCTGCAATCTCCTTGGGTGCCTCTTTCACGTTCAAGGCCCGACCTGCTCGCCTAACACACGCTATGATGGAACTTTGAGGTCTAGTAAGGCCAAGGTCATAGTGAGTCTTAAGTGCTTGTATTTTAATTATATGAGGCGATCGATTACTCTCGCGATCTCGAAATGTAGCCGCTGCCTCTTATAGGTCGTCTCTAGGTTTAGATGGAATAAATTAAAATACTTTTAATCTCAATTAGCCCAGCTTTCGCATCTGTCATGATTGAACATAGATTTTCGACGCCCTCGGTTTAAGCTTGTTTTTTTCGTTTGTCTGTTTGTTTTCACATTTACCGCCAGTGGGATGCAGCGTAACAGATCATCTTCGAGCCTCCTATTGGACGTTAGGGCATGCTAAGCTAAGAGTTTCCCATTTAATAGTTCTAGTCCGTAGACGCTGGCTAAAAGGTTTTGAGTTGCATCCTCAAAAAGAATCGACTAGGGCCTGATTCGAACAGACGCTCCCGAAGGAAATAGATCACATAATTCGAGTCTATCGCGTTAACCACTCCGCCACCTAGCCAGTTGTTTAAGCTTACTTGAGCAGGGTCAGGAAATTTAAGTCGTACTCTTCTCTATGAGAGATCGATTATTACCCAATCCGGTAACTAATTTGCTTATTTAGGACTAGATATAGCTTAGTAGACTATCGAGACCAAATCCTCAATCCATGTGGGGCCAGCCTTCTAAGCCGTCGAGCCAGATCTATCCGACTGGTCACCCCCATTCGACTGGCTATACCTATCTAGCTGTCCACCCGGACCCCCAGCCAGCAACATTATATAGCCGAATAGGTGGCTAGGGGACCAGGGGGGATGGCTGGCTATTTGGTTAGCTAGATAGCTAGCCTAGCGGCTAGTTGGGATAGCCAGATAAGATCATGGATTTGACAGTACGGTGATTGCGATAGTAACACCGATACTAACCCAGACGCCCCAAGATATGCCACTCCTTGTTGCTGAGGATGGAGGGGATTTGTTGGGATTATCAGTATCAAGTCCGTTACATATAAGCTGACCGATCAGTCCCTGGCTTTGCTGGAAAGCCAAGTGCGAGCAGTTAAAGTCGTCATTCGACGCCTCGATCGTAATTGACTGCTTCACAAATTTTAGAGACGGGAAGATATTGCCAAGTGAAGATCTGTGTTCTGTTTAGCAATGAAGCCTTCACATGGCCGAATGAAGGGTGCTTCTTACGTGTCCATTCTCCCTTTGAGTTGGATTGAATCCGCAAACTCAAGGTTTCGAAAATCACCAGGCAAGAGACTCTCGCCGTTATTTTGCATTGTTAGATTCCCAACGCTAGTAAGCGCTGAGAATATAAAAGTACTGTTGCTACTATCGTATATCAACAGTTGTTTGCCCACCGTCGTCAACGTCGACAGTGGTAGAGTTGCATTAGACCAATCCTGAATAGCAAAATTGCCACCAACAGATTGTATACCCCAGACATAGCCTGTTAGATCTTCGTCATCATCGTTGATTTTGTGCTGAGCCGTAAGGTTGCTTCCAACTTGGAGTGGCTGGGATGCTATGCTAGGAACGTTGAAACTTGTAAACGTTGCGTTATTGCCAATATAAGACAATTCAGAAACGGCCAAGCCCCCATTGTCGATCTCTAGGTCTTCGACGAATTTCAGCGTGGAAGAAAAGAGAGTACTATTCTGAAGTTGCAATATGCTCAATCGCGTGATATCGCGCAATGTACTTTTTCTGGTATTGACCTGCTTCCAATTACTAGTCCCATTACCGTACACATCGATTTGTATAGTGGATAATTGAATTTGTTGCCTGGTTGTCAAAGCGATAGATCGTACAGTACCGTTGCGTGGATCGACTTGAATGGGTAAAACTATGGATCCGTCGTAGAAATCTTCGACATACAAGTCATTGACAATATCGGTTGCGTTCAGGTTCAAATGCAGAGAGTCTAAAGAATTGGTTTGAGGATTGGTGATAGAAATATTGTTTACTAAGAGCCCGGGTGGAAAGACTAGCTGCGTGGTAGGAGAGATGATGTTGATGAAAACATCATTGCCTGTACACTGCTCCAAGCCAGTAGCGCTGGCATCAATGTCTTGTTGGGTTGAGATTTTGAAACCCTGGGGACATGAATATGGATCTAACTTGATAGAGTTCAGATTAGTATTGGAGTTTTGTCGTTTTCGTGGAGGTTCTTCTGATCATACTCATGATGGGCTAGTCCTTTCTTTAGCCTTAATAACTGGCTTGTTGGTCTTTATGAAGGAAAGAAGTTGGGGTTTAGAAAACTAGAATTCGCCATTTGGTCTCAAGAAAGGGAGTGGCTTTAGCAGCATATCAAACTCTAGTCGACCTGCGCCGGAGCCGGAAACTGCATCACAATATGAGTCTTTGTTGTGGTTGCTTAACAGGTCCGCCTTACGAGTGATACGCCGTATTACTGCGTAATGTCAGCCATGACCTATCTAGTGGGTACTAGCTGAAGTGGGTTGTGACTATGCGGGATCATCCTGTATTTGGGCAGCAGGATTTCAACTCCGAAAATCCGGGACCTGCATTGGGGGGCAATCTCCGATGGCTCTGATAGGACCATATACATAGATACAAAGGTCCATACCTTAATTAGCCCTCAACTAAGTATGTTGTCATATGACATAAAATTGTCTGGACACTCTCTAGAGACAACGACATGAGCTTTCATAATATTAGTATTTTCTGGCTTTATACTGCCTATGAAATTGGCATATACTCTATATTCAAGACCCGTACTATTCTCCAATCATGTTCGCTACGGGGGCGACTTTCAAAGAAATTCTTCAACGTGGTTGCCTACTCGGGGCATGGCCGATTCCTAGAGCAACTCGCAGTTGGGGATCGTCACTTTCGGAAAACCACTACCAAAAGCTGTGTATAGACTCAATTAGCCTTTCTGTTGAAGAACACTGTCCTGTCGTGGAAAAGAAACGTTGAACGTTCCTCGCTCATCAGCCACAACGCTCGAGTCGCATGCACATGCCAAGATACGGCAGACAATCGCCATGGTGGTAGCACTTGACGACTTTAAAGCAAGCCCAGCGTTTAGAGGCTGCAGAAAGAACAGCGAAGACGGGTTGTTGGCGTTGGCGTTGTCTATGGATGCGAATATAAAATCCAAAAAGGACTGGGCCACAGGGTTACCTGACGGTGTTGCCCAGGAATGATTTCCACGCCTTGAGCCGCTCTGCCAGAGCTGGTGCATTATTGATGCCGAGATGTTTTGTAACGCAGAGCAGCCAAGACAGAGAGTCCATGCGGTACCTTCAGCCGGATACATCGTAGAGCGCGTAGCGATTCAGAAACGCGCTGAGCTCAAAGTAGTTAGCGAATGGCTCATTCTCATGAGGCGAGTCTCCATGGACGACCGTACCTGGTTGAGCATGATCCTTCTGGTGCGTACCAGGCCGTTTATCCTATCTAGCATGCGTAACTCGGTGTCCGAGAGGTTTCCGTTGAGCGTCTCACAGACGATATCGTGGTTGACTTCGGACCACGCGTGCATCAGGAGAGTCCTATCTGGATTTCGATCATCGCGGAGTCGTAACGCCGCCGCTCGGACGGGAGGCTGTCGGCACCGAGTTCGACGCGCAGGTACGTGGTGCAGTACCTAGAAAAACTAGTTGTCGTTCTCAGGCGAGCCCACTTTGCTAATCTTCTTTATAACCAGCAGCTTGGGGAGGAGCTTCACCACCTGAGCCTCTTGGATCGGAAAGTAAAAGACGACCCGCAAGCCTAAGAGGCCCACCAGGCCCTTGCAGATATCTTTGGGTGTCTTTGTATTGCGTTTCCGGCAACCTGCTTTGATCTTCTCGGCCAGATGGCCGGGGCGCTCCACCCGCGACGTGACAATGGCCGCCGAAGCCGCTGTTAGCTAACACTTTGCGACATCTCTCCTCGGCTTTAGAAGCCAAGAGCGTATAGAAGTCCAGATCCTGTTCGTAACTCTCAACAAAGTCGTTTATGAGGGTAGACGCCATTTGACACTCGCGTATAATGTTCAAAATGTACCTTGAGCGGTTTTCAAGAAAGACGACAAGCTGGTGGTTCTATTGGGAAGCTTGGAACTGAATGTTCATCATCTGTATGTAGAATTTCTTAATTTGTTACTTAAACCTAGGATGATTATTAGGGATAGGGTTCGAGAAATGCAGCTGAAGCTCTATGAGCTCATGAGGCAGTAACCTGGCATTTGCATTGTCAAGACTGCATTGGGTTTATCTGCCTTCGCGGTCTAGGTGTTCATCTATGTCTCTTCCTTGAAGAACCACTTGTAGATCTAGTGCGAGACCTTTATGAATACGTCCTATGACGGCCCCTGATAACAGCAAATCTTGACAGCACACCAAATGCCTTTGTCCATTCTGTGATTGGCAGTGCCTGTCTCCAGCGTAGGAGAGATTGTGTTTTATTACTTCTTCACTGAGACCTGATCTGCTTCAGGTAATGAGGTATCTTCTCATTACTAACCCTCCAAGAGGTAGTTATAAATACTAAACTTTATCCACATTCATCTTTGACTTGGCTGCTGAGGTTGAGACTGGTCCTTGACAGACTCCTCACCTAGTACTTTGCTTGCTGCCATGAATCTGTACAACGCAACAAGGTTAGCCTCCATCTTCAGCAAGGAAATCGTTAAATCCTTGACATAGGTTGATAGGTAAGTAAAGCAAAGTAGCGTAGCACTCCCCAGCTTGTATGTTGCTCATTAGTCTTGGGAGACGGAAGGGAGAGTCGTAGGAGAAAGGTGATGCTCACAGTCCTCCGTGCCAGCTTCCTAGTCCCCTCATGGCTCCAGCCTGGACACTTGTCATGCGTAAGAGGTTCTCCGTGTCAGCAAGATTGGCCGAGAGCTGCGCTAATTGCGAATGCAGGTGTGTCTGTATCCACACATCATCATTAGCCAATATACTTTTCTCTCTGTAGGTATGGGATATAGTACTGGCGAACTCTCGCTCCTGTTTCCCGCTCTATTCACAGACGAATAGATACACCAGAGACGAAAAAAATATATATGTAAATCGATCTAAGTCAACTTACCAATTGCCTCGCCTTAACCACACCACCCGCCCCTTGCGGCGCCATAGATGGTCTCGTCGTACCACCGCTGCCGCCCATCGTGAGCGTGCGATCTGTGTTGCCGCCCCGACTTGTCATGTCTGTTTTATGTCCTCCTTTTCACACTTTCCTTTGACGCACGTTCTCTTCGTGCGTCGGGTGATATTTCGCAGACCGTCGGAAACAGGGGTAGGCAAGGCGACCCAGACGATAATAAATTAATTTTCGTTCCGCAGAAGAGGGGCGATAGGTTGCCCCCTGAATCAGTATGAGGAGGAGCGAAGGAATGTGGTTCGGCGGTATTGTGTGTCTCGATCTCGTTTGTTTCGTGTTCAGCACCTATCCGATGAATGTCGAGTCTCGGAAATTGCTGGCCTTGGTTTCCCCCAGCTTCCGGGTTTACAAAGTCTTCACTTTCCGCCGTGGTCCGGAAACCCACCGGACCGCCCTA